GATCACAGCCTTCCAGGAACTAAAGGGTAGTGGCCGAGAAGAGGGGCAGGCACTTGTGTTCCAGGAGCTCTCAGAGCAGGAGGAAGAAGGAAGACAGGGGGAGAAGGGGAAGCGAAAAGTGACTGAAGAAAGGCCACTGTCAGCCTGCTGTAAGAACTTTCTAGCCCTTTGAGATGGTCCCTAATGGAATAGGCTGCCTGGTGTGGAGGGGAGCTACGAGGAGCTGTGGGCACTGGAGCAGAGACCAGTGACAATGAGCTGAGGGACATGGCGATGAAGTTGATGGCCTCTAAGACCCCCCCAGCTCTTTGGTTCCACCTTGACCTCATCATATATGGAAGCCATTGGGAGGGCCACCAGGAAGTTAAAGAGTAGGGTGACCAACTGTCTCAGTTTGCCTGGCACTAAAGGTTTTTCAGGGGTGTGGGACATTACGTGCTAAAGCCAGGAAAGTCTTGGGCAAATGGGAATAAGTCGGTCACCCTATGAAAACACGTCTTGTGGGAATGCGCCCCTCCCAAGCTAGCATGGCTCTGGCCCACACACTGAACTCCAAGGCTGGCAGAAATGCCCTGGACCCTCCCTGCCTCCACTCTGCCTCTCCCCTTTCTGCCCCAAAGCCAGGAATAATGGAGCCTGTCTCACTGGGAGGGGCAGACACGGAGCCCCCCTGGGCCAGGAATGGTTGCTAATGACAAGCCAGGCCACCTAGAGGCCCTCACTTGCCTTCCCTGGGCCTCTGTTTCTCGTTCTGTGAAGTGAGACCGTGTGGGATGGGTGACTGGAGAGGATGCTCCCATGGGTACCTGTCAGTCTGACAAAGGGCCCCAGTCCCACCTCTCTTTTTCCTGGCCCGAGGCCACCTTCCCAGCCCCTTTCCTGTTGCACATGGGTGTGTGGGGAGAGGGAAAGTGGCAGTTTCCTCCCTCTTCCTCCAGCAGGCAGGCTGGGGAGCAAGGGGCCTACTCACGCCAGTTTCCTGTGTGTTGCCTGCCTCAGCTGTCTCTCTGGCCCCAGCCAGGCACCCTTTGTCACTCCCACCCAGCTTACTGTGCCTAGGCAGGGAAGGGTAGAGGGCTGGCAGGAGGGGTGGGCTCAGGCGAGAGCCTCTGCCTGCTGATGGCCTATGGAGGGCACACACAGAGCTGCACCTTCAGTCCTCAGTCCTCAGAGGGTGGCTGAATGAGGGTCCCAAAGTTCACCATAGCTGAGCTTCAGCCCTGGTGCTGCCTATAACCAGCAGAGCCTGGGGTGTGGAGCAGATGGCACAGGGCAGGGGCAGCCTCAGTCTAGGAGCCAGGAAGCTGGGGCCCCATGCTGACCTCCCACTGACCTGGGCAGGCCAGTGATGAGCCTCAGTGTCATTCCTGCCAATTGCTGTGGCTTGGGCAGCAGGCCCTGCAGTGCTGGCACCTCGGATGGATACAGGCGCTGACTCTTACCATGAAATCTGCTCACAGGGCTAGTTGGTGCCCAGCTCTCCAGGAGCCATACTCCCAGCTTCGCTCTTCCTCACATGCCTCCTGAACCATCTACAGATTCCCTCATGGCTGCCATGCCCGAGTATGCACACTTGCACACACACATGTGCACACACACCTTTCAACAGCCTACATCTTCAGACTCCCCATCTTCACACAGCCCCTGCCTCCACCCCCCACATACACACCTTCATATGCCCCTCACACCTTCACACGCTCACACACTCACGTGTACCCCCAGCCCCAGAACTACCTGGGAGGGAAGGCGATGGAGTGACAGCAGGAGATCATATGTTAAGAAGAAAAATTGCTGGAGAGGTTTGCTTGGGGGCACCTGCATGATTGGCAGAGGGATGGGCCAGCAGGGCACCCAGGCCCTCCCTGTACTTGAAGAGTCCTGAGCTGATCGCTCAGTCCAGGCCCCAGGCTCTGGTCTCCCTCTGTCCAGCCCTCCAGGGTGCCGGTCACCTGACAGTGCCTGAAAGGTCACCTGGCCCTGTGCCCCTACCACAGCCTGGTTCCAGGCAGCGGCTCGGCTCTCACCACTCCACATCCTGGATGCTGAGCTTTAGGCCTCCTTAAAATGCAGGAGGAAATGAAGTGGGGAGACCAAAGGTGACTGGCCCAAGGTCATGTAGAAACCAGGAAGGAAACTGGATCTCCCGAGAGGCTGTGAGATGCACTAGAAACAGCAGAGCCTCCTTCAGGAGACGGGACTGTGCCGGCCCCACCCGATCCTCTCCACCCTTAGCCTCAGCCACCCTCCCTGGACCTCTGTGTCCTTCTTTGTCAACCATGGAGGCTGGCCAGGCCACCCTTCCCAGGCTTTTTTCCTGCCCCAACAGATCTGCATCCTCACTCCAAGCCATGACTGGGCCTCAACTGCCCGGGCTGCTGTGTGCACTTGGGTGTGAGGTGGGAGGGGCTCCTGGGACAGGAGACTGGATTCTGGGCCTCAGCAGCTAACCCTAATGGGCCCCGGCACTGGGCCATGAGCCCATGAAGACCCGTGTAGCACGGCCGTCCAGATTGCTGGTGCCTCAGGCTGCCAGTTTCCCGAGCTCTCTCATCCACAGAGGGCCCTAGGGCAGTGGAGGGAGGAAACCCCGAGGGTTCTGTGTTTGTGTAGGAGCCCACAGGAGGAAGGGCATTCGTCTGTTTGGGGTGCTAGAACCCTTTACTCAGTAATTCCAGAAGTTCATCCAGGTGGCCTTAAGATAATGAGGTTTACTGGGAGGAGAGATGGAGCCAGCAGCCAGGCAGCTCCTCCCTCCTGCCTCTCTGCCTCCTTCCTGCCCTACCTTCGGGGCCTCTGACTCTCCTTCTGCTTGTCTGCTCCGTCCTCCACCCTCCTCCTCTGGCCTCTTGCTCTAGCTTTTCTTTTTGTAGAGATGGGGTCTCACTGTGTTGCCCAGGCTGGCCTTGAACTCCTGTTCTTAAGTGATCTTCCCACCTCAGCCTCCCAAAGTGCTGGGATTACAGGCATGAGCCACTGTGCCCAGCCCTCTTCCTCTAGTTCTGTCCAGAGCCCTAACTGATGGTCTGTTGCCCATGGGGCAGAGCCCTTGGTGCCAGTCCACATGATGGGCCTGGCTGCCCATGGAGGGTCATTTCCCCATCCAGTCAGTGCCATCTGGCAGATGTGGGCAGGACCGTCACAGCTAGAAGAGGACATGGCACCCTGAATGACATGGCAGTACGTGGGGATGGTGTGCAAGGCTTCCTGGAGGAGGAGAAGTTGGGACTTGATCTTGAATGAGAAGCAGGATTTTAAAGTGTGCTGAATGTTCTGTTCGTAGCTCAGGGAATGCTAGAAATGTGGGCTGAAGAATGATCCGCCTAGAGAAATCTCACAAGCCATGGGGTGAATGGATCAGAGCGAACGTGGGGAGAGGAGGAGGAGGAGAGGAGGAGGAGGGATTTGCAGGCCAAGGGTGCAAATCTGTAGAAGGTTTGCATTGCAGGAGAAGCTCAGGGGCGAGAGCCACTGGGACTGGGACCAGAGTTGGAGCAGGGCTGGAATGGGTCTGTGTGTCCCAGAACCACGGGGAGTGCGTGGCAGCTATGAGAGAGTCCAGAGTGACAGTTGGGAGGCTGATGGTGACCCTGGTGAGAGCAGCTTCTGTGCTGTGGTGGGGCATCGCCTGACTGCAGGGGTGAGGGTGTAGACACAGCAGGCATAGGCCTCTTTGGATGTTTGTGAGTGAGAAAGGGCCCTGACACCTGAATGCTTTGCATGCCCAAGGTGAGCAGTGAGAACAGTGAGTGGCAATGCTCATGCCTGCCTCTCTGGGGGAACCCTTTGGGGTTGGCATGGCCTGGATAGAACCAGAGGGAGGGCGGTGGGAGAGAGGGTGGAATGCCCTAGACCAGGGTGTGGGAGGCTGCCCTCCTAGGAGCTAGACACCCCTGTCTTGACTGCCTACTCTCTTTCTGGGTGACCACAGGTTGCTTCTGTCTTTGATCCTATTTCCTTATCTGTAAACTAGGATAATGATTCTGCTCTGCCCCTGCCTCCCATGGTCATGGGGAACGAAATGAAGAGTCATGGTTTAGCCCAAGTGCCTATTTGTGGATGGGTGGGGCTGGGGAGGGAAAGGAATGACCACGGCTTCATCATTCACCAGCACTGAAGGCAAGGGGGTGACCTGGGTGCCCCTCCAATGCAGGCTCAGGGCTCCTTCCTCAAGGAAGCCACAGAACAGAGGTGACCCTGCATAGCTGCTGGGAGAAGGTGGGTCTTGAGTGAGTCTGGCCCCAAGAGGCAGGGTCTTGGTGGAGTGACCTGTTGGCTTTGCTAGGCCTGGGCTCCGTAGGTTGACCTGCCCTTGCACAGCATCTACCCTTTAACTAGGAGTCTTAGCCGGAAGGAGGCCGTGGCTGATGGGAGAGTTTCTAGCATCCTCAGGTGGGCAGGTGAGTGAGAGGTAAAGTCCTGGGTGAGGCCCTACTGAGAGATCCCAAATCGATCTGAGGATCCAGCAGCCCATTTCCCAGGAGGCTCCTATTGCTCTGCTTCCAGAAAATTAGGGACAGTGTGGGAAGTTGAAGGATGGTTGCTGCAGTTTGGGGTATTGGGTAAGTCTCATGGGAAATGGCTGCGTAAAACAGGGGCATGTTTTGAGTCCCAGGTCCTTGCTTTCTATGGGGTGTTTGTGGGGGCTTCTGTCTATCATCTATAAGGACTGCCCACTGCCTCCATTCCAACTGGGAGTGGGTGGGGCCCTCGCCCAACAAGAACCAGAGGGAGGAGGAGAGACAGCTTCTGTTGAGGTCTGGGCACTCATTTGGGGGTTATATCTCCCTGGCAGCCAGGAACAGTTGATCCCCCAGACCTTGGTCCCTTGTGACCTCTCTGTACCCTCAAAGTTGCCCATGCCCCCAGGTTCTCCACCTGCTTCCTGGGCTCCTGGCACCTCCTTCTGGACCTGTGGACAGGAACAGATTGGGATCAGACTCAGAGGCCTTGGCTCACTTTGGTGGTGTGCTGTGGGGCTGGGGTCCCTGTTTGCCAACCCCCGCACTCCCACTCCACCAAACCAGTTTATGAAACTGCAGAACCACAGTAAACTCCTTCCCCTGGCAAGCCAAGGTGGTTGGGCGGGGTTGGGGTGACAATATGTTTCCAGGGGCCCCAGGGTTCTCTCTTCCCAATTACCCTGCTAGAGACAGCCTCTGATGATCCAGTCTGGGCATGTCACCAGGCTGAGAGGGACGGCCCACCCAAGAGAAGCCACAACAGGTCCCCAAAGAATTTCTGCAGGCTGGGACACCTGAGTGAAATGAAGAAATGGGATTCAACAGAGAGAAATGTGAAGTCTGCCAGCTAGGTATGAAGGGCCAGTGGCTCAACTTGAGGGAAGTTTGTGCAAAATCTACTTGGGAACGTTTGTTGACATCACATGAACTGACACTGTGAGCAGCCGCCAAAGCCCTGGCAGGTCTGAGTTGCATTAACTGTTGACATCGGTCTGGCTGTGCAGAGACCACAGCCCAAGTGAGGAACCCTACCCTTGGATAAATGTTGGTGAATTGCCCTGTGTCTTTTGGAGAGGAGTGGGTGGTGCCTGGGCTGCAGAGTCAGGCCAGGGCAGGACTTGGAAGGAACATGATGGAGTTCTCAAGGATCTGAAGGTCTATCTGGGGGAAGGAGAATTCCACTTGCTCCAGGTGATTGCTGAAGGCAGAGCTAGCTCCTGAGGGTGGGGAGGGCCAAAAGGTAATTTTCAGCTCAAATGAAGAGAAGTTTCTAGGTGACCACTCTCCCCTACTGGCTGCTGGAGGCACAGGGGCAGGAGTGAGTGTCTCAGCACCCGCAGCAGTATGAGCAAGGGATGGTGTGTTGTCACGTGTCTTGCACATCCAAAGTAACCAAAGGACATTTAGTCCAAGGGATTCCTAAGAAAAGGATGACTGAGGCCTGCACCTGGGGGCTGACAGTATTGTCTGGGAGACTTCACTCAGACAAAACACACAGAGGAAACGGCAATCAGTGGCAGATTGGTTCCACCTTTCTAGAAGAAGTTGGTCTCAGTTAAAGTTGCCCTGCAGTGAGCAGCAGCCTGTCCTTGCAGGAGTGCAACTGAGACCAGATAACCTTGAGCTGGAAAAGGGATTCCAGTTTCAGGCATGAGGAGGGGGTTGGATGTGAACAGATGACCTCTGTGGTTCCTTTGAGACCAAAGTTCCTTGGCAGAGAAAAACACCCGCAGAACTCTGAGCGGCACACAAGGTTACGGAGGACGGAGCAGAGATCCGAATATAGCTGGCGGGAGGAAGGAGGCAGCGGGCGAGGGGAAAGTAGGTCCTTGGAACAAATGAGGTGGGGCATGAAATTAACGAGGCTGGAAAAGGGCTGAGCTCAGGGACTCCTTTTTAAAGACTGTCTTTTAGCAAGAAAAATGAGGAAAAGAAATTTGGGTAGTGGAGATGTAATGGAGATTGTAAAGGTAGCTATGGACAGCTGGCCCGTTGGCTGGGGAGAGGAGCCTCTTGGAGAACAAGGAAGAGATGCAGATCAGTGGGTCTGGGGTGACCCCAGCATGGCATGCAGGGCGGACAGGAGTTGGCTGCTGACATCAACTGCCCACACCTTGAAGGCTACTGTGTTCCAGTCCTTGAGCTGGGCCATTCTGTCCCCCTACTGTCATGCACTGTGCTGTGACCTGCTTATCTTATCCCCTGACCTTGGCATATACTCATCCCTCACTGGGCATGCCACTTTTCTCCTTTTTGCCTTTCTGTGTTTCACCCCAATCACTCAGCTGAGTCCCTACCTCTCCAAGAAACCTCCCATGGGCTCATAGCCCATCCCCAGTTCCGCTCTGAGCATCTGGGGGCCATTCGACCCATTTGGCACTTGGATGGACACACTCTTAGGAGCTCAAGCAGCCTGTCGTGCAGTGGGGGAGGGCCTGTGCACCAGGCTTGGTCAGCAGGGTGGATGGAGGACATAGGGTGGACAGTTATTTGCCCCCATGGTGCTGGCCCTCTGGAAATTTAGAGTCCCTAGAAGCCCCCACCATGTCCTGCTTCTTACCTGCGATGTAGGGGTGGAGATGGAGGTACTTAAAAGGGTCCCTAGTGGCTTTCCCTTCCCTGGCCAATAACCCAGGCTGCCTGCTCCCTCCTTCCAGCCCTGCCAGCTGGCCAAGCTTATCCTGTGGCCCTGTCCAGGTGACAAGGCCCTGGAAGAGGCCCAGCCAGCTGGACTGCTGCGGAGCTGTCACCAGAGCCCCAGAACACGGGGGCTGGAAGGAAGCACAGAGGCAGCAGGGCCCCTTCTCTGGGGAAGACAACCAGGGACACTGGGAACCTGAAACCAGAGCCATTTCACACCTTGCCTATTAATTGCCAGATTGATTTTGGATCCGAGTCTCCAGGAGGACCCAAAAATCAATCCCCTCCACTCCATGCTTCTCTGGGCTCAGGAGTTATTCTTAAAGCGGCAGCTGTCCTGGCTGCTGTGGCTGAATCCTCCTGTCCAAGAGCAGGCTGTGGGTTCCAAAGCATGCTCAGGGCTGGGCAGTGGCTGGTGGCTTTATTCCAGATCCACTGATCCTGTGTAGGAAGACTCTTACCCTGAAGGGGAGCCATGGGGTGTGATTGGAGGGGTGTTAAGAAGGCTCTCATTCTCAAAGCTCCCTCCTACCAAGATGCCTGATATCCGTAATTCCACCGTTAAGAAGAATTTCTTGGGACACATTTAGGTCAGCAGTCCCAGCTTCCAAAATATGGAGGCCCAGGAGAAGGAACACAGATTAGGGCTGTACCATTGCAGTTCCTTGTGAATGGAGGCACTGGAGGCCTCGGGGCATCAGGAGAGCTCCGTGTGAGGGGTGAGGAGCAGGAGGCAGTGTCAGGGCATGGGGGAGGGGAAGTAGACATTGAAGACCAGCCCAAGAGGAGGCTGTGGAGGGGTGGTGAGCAAAGGAACAGTAGGTACCCCCAAGGCACTTCCCATTTGGGGGGCTGCTTTGGGGCTGTGGTGCTGGGAGACTGGCTGTTTGGCAGGTGAGAGAAGATGAAGGAACGCCCATTGCCTGGGTACCTTCTGTGCCTCCAGCCCTGAGCCAAGCACAGTGGCAGTCTGATGTCACCACCACCCTGTGGGAAGGGCTCCCACAGCCTTGTTTCTTAGATGAGACACTGAGGTGCATGAGGCTGGGTGACCTGCCCAAGGTCACACAGTTGCTCCTGCAGCATGGGGGCTGGAGCTCGGGTCCGCCACCTCTTCATGCTGTGATTTCACTGCCTCCCGCCTCCTCTGCAGAAGGGGCCAGGGGTTGAGGAGGTTTCTAAGAAGTTGGGAGAGCCGGATGGAGGGGGCACAATGGAAGGGGTACCTGAGCTCAAGCATGCCATGATTTCAAGAACCTGAGGCAGGAAGTTCTATGAACTGCTGATGTTAGAAGCTGGGGACAGCCTCTGGGCTTCCGTTCCTCAGCCTCCCTGACATCCTGCCCCGGTGCAGAGTCCCCACACATGGGAGGCCTGGTGGGCAGGTCTCCTGCAGCCTCAGCCCAGTGGCTGCTGCCTGCTACTCCATCACGGCTGTGGAGATGTGGGCTTTAGGCAGGGTCACTGCAAGTCAGCCTGTGTGCCTGGGGACATGGGGACATCATTGCTTATCCCCTGCCCACATGGACCCAATTACTGATGCAGCACTGCGTGTTCCCACGGCCACCAACAAGGGCCTCTTTCCTCATAGCATCACAGATGGACAGAGAGGTCCTGGATCTCCCTCCAACCCCCGCCCACAAGCCCATTACGCTAATTTCAGGTGTGTCTCCACTTTGCTAGCTTGGAGGGTGGAGAGTGTGTGTGTGTGTGTATGTGTGTGTGTGTGTGTGTGTGTGTGTGTGTTGGGGAGGGAATGAGACAGCAATTGCAAGCCATTTGGTGCAGTTACAGGGAACAACTCTCATCTTTGCCCAGCCCGTGAGCCCTGTGAGATTTGGGGCCATGTCTGTTTTCTAATAACTGACCTCGAGGGCCTGGCACGGATGTGGGTACTCAGTGCATGTTTGCTGAGTGACTGAATGGCTGAGTGAGTGAATTAGGCATCTCTTGGTGGCCATCTCAGTCCTCGCCCAGCCACAGCTGTGCTGTGTGGCTTTTGGTGAGTTGCTAGATGTCTCTGTGTGCAGATGCCTGGAAACAGTGCCAACTGGGAAGAATGGCCAATGACAGGAAAGCGCTGAGGGGAGAATGTGGCAGGAGGGCCTGCAGTTTGTGGAAGTTGCCTGCAGTGGAAACTGCTGGGGACACTGGGGCCTCTCTCTTTCTCCCAGGGCAAGGCGAACGTGGGTTGGCGCACAGTGTAGTCCTGAGGGGGAGGAAGGGGCTGTCCTAGGCTTGGTTGGGGTTGGGAGCATGTGGACTTGCATTGGAACTGAAGGGTGACAGGGAAGACTGGATCGGGGTTTGGCCAGGGGTCGAGGTCAGGGGCTGGCTCAGGAAATGGCTGGGGGCTCATGTGGATCCTGAATGAAGAAGTTGGTCAGGCCTGGGCACAGCTGGGGTTGGCTTCAGGACCTCAGCTCAGGGCTGGACCACAGGTCTCTCCAGCCTGGGGCCAGTGCAGATTCTGTCCAATAGGAGCACTGGGAATGGCTTACTGTCCTGGCCTCATTTGCTCTGAGCACACCAGCTAAGGGGTGGATACCCAAGGCTTTCTGAGGATGATGGCCTTGAAGAAGTCCTCCTGTCCCCAAGGTGTCCTTGGGGAAGCTCAGGGATGCCCAGGGACCCAGGGGCCATTTCACCCTGTCTCTGTGTTGTCAGGGGAAGAACAGAATTGCCCAGCTAGCACGGACTGGCAGCTGGAAGGTGGTGTCATCAGCATTTCTCACACATGCATGGCACTGTATAGTTTATGACCCCTTTCCTACCCTGCGTCTTCTCATCCTTTCCACAGCCCTGAGAAGCAGGCATGACAAGAGAGGATACCTGTGTTACAGATGAGGAAAACAGAGGCCCCGGGAGGAAGCTTGCCTAATGCCACTCAGGAGTTAGAGGCAAAGCTGGGAAAGGCCCTGGGTCCCCAGACTGCCCCTCTGGAACTCCACATGCGGGCACCTGGCTGTCCTGCCCGGGATGCCATCCTCAGGCTAGGCTGACACTCACGCCCATGCCCTGCTGCCCACTGACACCCCGCAGAGCTTAACACCCTGCTGAGCCTGCCCTGCAGCCCTTGCCAAGTCTGTCCAAGTGGCCTCAGTCATTGGCAAGTCACATTGCTGACATCACAACTGCATAAAATTAATTTATTTAGTTAAGGGAGGTGTTAATTAAGAGTTCTCGTTTATTGTGTCTTTGCAGACAGCTC